GCGGGGCCGGCTGCCCGTGCCTGAGGAGCGTGCTGCCCTGATGGGGTTCGACCGTCTCTATTTCCAGGCCGCTGTAAAAGATAGTGCACCTGCCGCCGAGCGTGACAGCGTCATTGAGTCTCTGATCGGGAATACGTTCTGCGTCCAGGCTGTCATGTATCTTCTCGGCTCGTGGCTCGCTCAGGTGGGGGCGCTAGCGGCCGCCATCCCGGGCAGCAGCTGCCTCGCTGTGGGCACGTGCGAGGCGAACTGGAACGTGGTTCCCGACTTCCAGCAGCCGGGACATCGCGACCCGCGGTTGGAACGCAGCCTGATCGTGGAGTTCCTGAGGGTCGCGGACCGCGGGGGCACGGACGTCCGGCTTGACACCGGGGCACCCTACCGAGCCCGCGCGTGGCCGCGGGCAGCTCTCCGTACGCACCTCTGGGCCTGGCGGATCGCCAAAGGGTTTCGCTGGCAGCGGCCCGGGCACATCTCGGCGCTGGAGCTGGAGGCTGCAGTGGCTGGAGCGCGCTGGAGGTGCCGAGCGGTTGAGAACCACCGCTGCCGCTACCTGCACATACTGGATGCCCAAGCGATCGCGGCAGTCAGCACCAAGGGCAGATCGAGCGCGAGGGCTTTGCAGCCCGCGCTCCGCCGTCTCAACGCCCTCCTCCTCGCGACGGCAGGGTACCCGCTGTACGGCTACTGCGACGCCGACGACATGCCCGCCGACACGCCGTCCCGCTGGAGCTTCGGCCGCCGCTGCCTCGCTCCCAGTGCGGCCGCCAACAAGGGCCAGGAGGGCCGCCCCCAGCAAGCGTGCAGCACAAGCAGCGGCAAAGGTGAGCCGGGTCACAGCTCAGGCGATGGCGCGACGAGCTGCAGCGAGATCCCAACCGCTGAGGGAGGCGATGGTCACGCCACTCACCCTGCAGCGGTACCGTGCGGCAGTCGATGAAGTCGTTGATTTCTGGATCCAGGAGCACCGGCAGCCGCAGACGCCCGCTCAGGTCGACGCTGGCGTGGCCGCCTTCATTGAGAGCCGCTGGCTGAGCGGAGGATCTTTGTTCGAAGTTAATAATGCTATTGCTGGCATCACGCACGCTTTCCCGCCCGTGCGAGGGCACCTGCGGGACAGCTGGCGCTTGGCCAAGACGTGGCAACGACTGGAGCCAGCTGGGCGGGCGCTGCCGATTGGTCCGCTGATCGCGGCAGCATTCGCTGGTGCATTTGCAGCCGTAGGCCAGCTCGGTGCTGCGGCGGTGCTGGCTGCGGGCTACGATGCTTTCCTCCGGACGGGTGAGATGACCTCGCTCGTGTGGTCCGATGTACAGCTGTACCCACTCCGACGAATGGCCGTGCTGCAGCTGCGCAACGCCAAGAGCCAGCATCAGACTGGTGCCCGAGAGTTCGTGCTCGTGCGGAGTGGTGTAGCGGTCGCCCTCCTTGCTAGAGCAAAGGCTCAGGCGCACGGACAGGACTTGTGCCTCGGAATGGAGCCAAACAGTTTCATGAACACTTTCAGCCGAGTGCGTGAGCTGCTGGAACTGCAGGATGCTAAGCTCACCCTCTACAGCTGGCGGAGGGGCGGCGCCTCCGCCGACTTCCGCAGCCATGGCTCCATGGAGCAGACGCTGCTCCGAGGCAGATGGGCCTCGGCGCGCACGGCCCGCTTGTATGTCCAGGATGCCGTCGCCGAGGCCACTCAATTAAATCTCTCGCCCGCGCAGCGGAAGCGCTGCGGCCTGCTCGCGTCCCGCCTGCGAGCAGAAGCGAGATGAACTTTTCTTGCTTTGTACTGCCTGTCTGTCTGTCCCGCCCATCCTCCACCTTTCTTCCCTCATTTCATTACAACGAGGTGGAGGGCATAAGTAAGAGCAAGAGGGAGCGGCTTTTGCCAGAGTAGGGACCGTGGAGAGAGCTAGGGGGTTCAGGGGTTGGTGACGTTTAACCTCCCGGCGGTGCAAGTGTGTCAGCGCGTCTGGGACGCAGCGCGGGTGCTTAAGCGCCACGGCTGTGCCAGGCGGGTTGGGAGGCCCTTGGATGCCGCTGAAGGGACGGGACCTCTCCCAACTCCTGGAATGACCCCTGAGTAGCCCCCAGAGGTCCTGGCCTGACAAGCTCCCTGGCGGAGTGCACAAAAACAGGTGAGAGAAGCATATATGAACCTTCCAAGGAAACCTATGCGGAGTCCACCTGAGCGTGCGCGACGCCGTTGATGGATAACGGTTGAGTTTCATCCATCTGCCGTAGCTGTGTTGGCCCACCCACAGACAGGGGGCAGCATTGCTACCGTCTCGCGCGTGGCCGTGCCTGCCTCCGCGCGAGTATTTGCCAGGACGAGAGAGCTAGGGGGTTCAGGGGTTGGTGACGTTTAACCTCCCGGCGGTGCAAGTGTGTCAGCGCGTCTGGGACGCAGCGCGGGTGCTTAAGCGCCACGGCTGTGCCAGGCGGGTTGGGAGGCCCTTGGATGCCGCTGAAGGGACGGGACCTCTCCCAACTCCTGGAATGACCCCTGAGTAGCCCCCAGAGGTCCTGGCCTGACAAGCTCCCTGGCGGAGTGCACAAAAACAGGTGAGAGAAGCATATATATATATATATATATATATAAGATAGAGAGAGAGAGAGAGGAGAGAGAGAGAGAGAGAGAGAGAGAGAGAGCGTGATCCACCGCCGCTTTACTGTGGAAAAATTGCCAACTTTCCTCCCGGAGCCCGGGGTCTCCCCCCCCCCCTCCGAAAATCCCCCCCCCCCCTGCTGGAACCCCTCCCCCCCCCCCCCCGGCAAAACCCCCCCTCCCCTAACCCCCCCCCCCCCCCTCCCCCTCGAAAACCGGGGGGGGGGTCCTACCGTTCGAACCCCTCCCCCCCCCCCCCCCCCCCCTCCGATCCCCCTCCCCCTCGAAAACCGGGGGGGGTCACTGCCGTTCCGAACCCCCCCCCCCCCCCCCCCCTCGAAAACCGGAGGGGGGTCACTACCGGTTCGACCCCCCCCCCCCCCACGCACCGCCAGCAAACGACTCCCGGTCCCTACCACCGCTCGCATCACATCCCCCACTGTTGTTCCCAGCACCACTGTCCTCACCACCACTGTCCCCACTGGTTCCACCACCGTCCCTATTGTCCCCACCAATGCCCCCACCACTGTCGCACTGTCCCCACTGTTCCCACAACTGTTCCCACCACGGTTCCACTCTCCCCACTGTCTCCACGGACCCAACCACTGCCTATCCCCATTGTCCCCACTGTCCCACTGACTCCTCCGCTGTCCCACTGAGCTGTCCCACTGTTTCCACCACTGTCCCCACTGTCCCCACCACTGTCCCCACTGTACCTCTGTCCCATTGTCCCACCGCCGTCCTCGCCACCGCCTTTACCAGTGTCTCCACCACCATTGTACCCTCCACTGTCCCAGTGTTTCCACCTCATTCCCACTGTCCCCACACCACTGTCCCCACCACCACCGTTCCCACCACTGTCCACTGTCCCCCCTGTTCCCACCATTGTCCCCACCACTGTCCCCACCACTACCGTCCCCACCACTGTCCCACTGTCCCCCCGCTGTCCCCACCACTGTCCCGCTGTCCCCTCGCCACTGTCCCCACCAACACCGTCCCCACCACTGTCCGCACCCCCACTCGGTTTTCGAGGGGGGGGGGGAGGGGGGGGGTGTTCGAACCGGTAGTGACCCCCCCCCTTTTCATGATGAGCTGGGGGGGGGGGGGGGAGGGGTTCGAACCGGTAGTGACCCCCCCGGGTTTTCCGGAGGGGGGGGGGGGGGGTTTCGAACAGATAGTGACCCCCCCGGTTTTCCGCCAGTAGCGGTAGAACACGCCCTTTCACATATATATATATATATATATATATATATATATGTGTGTATATTTACACATATATATATATATACACATATATATATACATATATATATATATGTGTGTGTGTCATCGCTCGCTTTCCTGGCTCTGCCCGGCCCGGCGCCTGCACCTGCTGCGGCTCGCCTTTGCGCCCGCCCGCTGACTTGCAGAGCTCCCCTGTCCCAAGACGGATCCAGGTCGGGCCTTGGGAGCATCTCGAGCCATGCTGGAGGTGTGGGATTCCAAGCCACGGTCGCTGTTGGCTTTCAGAACAGATCCACACGGGGATCCCTGGGAACGATCAAGAGCTTGAGTTTTATGGGATTATGGGAATCCATGCCCTGTGCTCGAGAATTCCTCAACCAGCTTGTCTGTATGGGTCACATACACGCGTATATATATACATATATATATATATATATATATATATATGTATATGTATATATATGTATGTAGATATGTATTTAAATATGTGTATACATACACATATATATATATATATATATATATATATATATATATATATATACGGGCTTCGCCCCCCTGCCGCCGACCCCTTCTCTTAGAATGGGATTTGCCAGAGCTGTGTTGGGATGTCTGGACGCTGACGTGACGCAATGCCGGGATTTCACAACCTGCGAAATATTTCACAACTGCGAATATGTTGTAGTTTTCGAGGGTTTGTGGTTTCGGGGGCGCGAACATCGCGTAATTTACGAGGGTTTACGGCTGCGGGGGCGAGTGCAATTTACGAGGGTTTATGGCCTCGAGGACGCAACTATTGCGTACTTTATGAGGTTGTATGGCTTCGGGGACACGAATATTGCATGATTCATGTGGCCTTATGGCCTCGAGGGGGAATGTTGTATCATTTGTAAGGGTTCATGGCTTACGACGACGAGGATACGACGACTGTCAGGATGTCCACGGATCTCGGCCTGCGCTGCTCGTGCCGTTGCTCCCGCCGTGGCAGCCGCCTACCCTGCTGCTGGTGGCAGCGGCTCCGGTTTCCTCCGAAATCTGTGGACCCTCCCGAAGACGTGCAGAAGTGACCGCAGAAACCAGAACTCGATCGATCATCGTTGAGAGCATCCGAAATCGTCGGTCGTCTTCGTCGTCGTCGTCGTCGTCGTCGTCGTCGTCGTCGTCCCTTCGTCCCCAGGACGACCTGCCCACCCCAGCCAACGTCGAGCAGCAGAAGCTGGCGTACTCGCGCGCGCTAGAGAGCCAGCTGGAGGCCGCCGCCTCTTCCCCGCGACGGCTCCGGATTTCGATTCGATTCGACTTGGGATTCCGATGCGGGTTCCAATGTCTTCTTGGGGGCATACGTACCAGCCTGCCAATTTTCCGCCGACTCGGCTCTTCCCGACTCGGCCGCCGATGTATGTCGCCGGTCCGATTCGTCTCTGTCGCCGATGCGACTTGCCGATTCGCTCCTGGGCCCTCCTGGGCCCTCCTCCTCCTCCTCCTCCTCCTCCTCCTCCTCCTCCTCTCGTCCTCCAACTTCGGCAACGGGATCAACGAAAGAAATGGGACGGACAGATAGTGGAGCAGGCACGGTACCTTGGTCCCATTCTAACGCATATACAGAGCTTCGGCATCGAATTGGCGAAGAGAGTTCAAGCAGCTAAAGCGGCATTCTAGTCAATGGGATCTTTCTGGAGTGCCAAGCGCGTACCATGGAGGTGGAGACGCACAGTGCTGATCGGAAGAGTGGTTAATGCGGCGCTTACGGCGGTCGAGGCCTTCACCCCCTCTCGGAAGCAGTACGACACGCTCGACGGTGTGATTGCCTCGCTGGCCAGGATTGCGATGAGAGGAGCAGCTTGTACGCACAACGAGGACGGCACGGTGCGTTCGCTAACGAACAAAGAGGTCTTGGCGCACTGGAAGATTCCCAGATCGGAGGTGGAGTTGCAGATTCGGAGGTTAAAGTGGCTACAGCAGGCGGCCAGGGACAGGAACAACAGCGTCCAGTTCTTCGGGGCACTCTTCGGCACCATCAGCGGGCAGCAACGGAGCACGGTGGCCGATGATGACTCCATTTCCGTGCTGGCCCACCCTTGGGCGAAACGAGTGTAACAAGACGTTGACTCGCTCATTCGGGTCTCGGACGAGGCTCGTGCACTGCAAGAGCTTGCTGGCCCGCATATCGTGGCCTGGCTAAAAGATCCGCACGTCAGAGAGGACTTCGTCAATATTGATGTCAGCGTTCTCCGAGCAAACGAATTCAGCAGAAACGTTCCGCCACCAACACGCAAACCCCTGCACCGCAGAAAGACGACGACGACGAGGAGAAGGTGATTCACGAGGTGGAGGAGGAGTTCAAGTGCCATGTGGAAGAGGACGGGAGGACGTGTGGTAGACTATTATATTCGAAACGGGCCCTTCGCACGCACGTTCGGCAAGCACACAGCATCGTCAACATTTGCTCGTTCTACACCCCCACGAATGTGTGCATCGTGTGCGAAACGGTCTTCGCCACACCTGTCACCGCACGTCGGCACTTATCTCGGGCTATTCAGAGAGGATAGTGCGTGGTCGATCTCGCTCGAGCACTCGTTCCAGCACAAGAGCCAAAAACACTACAATGTCCTGGATGCGATTTCGCAGCTGGTTGTTGGCTCGAGCTTCGAGATCACCTCGCTCGCCACCTGCCTTTTCTTCCTGATCTACGTGCGCCCGCCACAGTGGGAACAAAACCTTCCGCATGGCAGACGACAGCGACCAGGAGCTAGAGGTGGAGGGCCCCGCGTGGATGAAGGAGATGGGCATCGGGCAAGCCGGCTGGGGCATCCAACGGCGCAGACGAGGAGCAGCAGGAGGACAGGGTTCGGACCCCAAGAAGCAGAATGCGGAGGAGCTGCTCGCACAGGCCAGAGGACAAGCAGGCAAAGGCGCCACCAAATCCCAGGTCGCGCATCAAATCGTGCCTATTCTCGCCAAGCTCGTCCTCAGCATGGCGGGCGACCTCAGGTCAGTCATCAGCGTCGTCTTCGTCACAGCGATCATACCCTTGGCTGTCCCGCGCATCGAGGCGGCGATTCAAGCAGGCAAGAACTGCCACAAAGCGGCGATGGAGCTCAAAGAGAAAACGAAAGAGGACGAAGGAGTGGATACGGCAGCTTTGGGCAGTCCGCATCTCCACGTGTGGAAGGACTTCATCAGAGCGCCCCTCGCGAGTACAGAGGAAGGCCAGGCGCGCACCATGCTTGGAACGCACTGGATGGAGAACATCATCAAGTACGAGCTGAAAGACGCGGCAGCGGAGATCAAGTACTTCAGGGCGCGCGTCCCGCAGGGCAAGGAGGCCAAGAAGAGGTCGAAGCGCATGGAGGGCAAGGTGCGGCTGTAGCGGGCGCTCTCGACGACCAGGATCGCAGAGGAGCTCGACGGAGTCATTCGCTCGGAGATAGTCAGGCAAGGAGGGGAGATCTTGACCGGAGCTGCCCCGCGAGGGGCTTTGGAGAGGGGCGCGCGCGCGCTCTTGAACAAGCTGGAGCCGCCCTAGGAGAGGCCGAAATGAGGAGGATGAGGACCCTTGCAGGAAGTGAGCGTCTGAGTGAACTCGTGTCTCGGGGCCTAGTAAGTAGGGGATCGATTCTCGCCTCTTTCACCTCCCCCCTCTCCGAATCTGCTCTGGAAGACCCCGGGGGCCGTTTTATCCCGACCGAAAAAAGATCAGCCGCGTCCTAAGGGGCGGGGTGAAGGCAAAGGTAGGGGGAGACAAAATCGCCCCCCCTGAGCAAGGGGGAGGCTCGGGGCAGCCGAGTACCTAGCCTTGTAGTGTGGGATGCCGCTGGGGGCCCCGCGCTGCTTGGTGAGGTGCTGGCCGTTTTTAGTCTCTCCGGGTGAAACTAACGTGTGGGCCGCCACCCTAGCGCCCCGAGCTCATGCCTCGCGGGTTGCCTGGGGGCCCGAGTGTTTTCCACCAGTGCCAGTGTGTAGCAAAGTTGCAGCCACCTAGGCGTGCCGCCCAGCGAATTCTAAGGACAGAAGCAGAGACCTTTCGTACCTTCGTTCGCCCAGGGATGTCAGTCAGTTAGTCTCCTCTCGTCCTCCTCCAATCGGAAGACGCTAATCCCCGACTTAACCACAGCAGCAAAACCCCACGGCCTCGAAATACATCCGACCAAGACGAAGATCATGACAAACCAACCAAGGATTCGAACGCGCAAGGCCACGGTTGCAAACATTGACATTGAAGTTGTCCCGTGCACCGGCAAGCTGACGTACCTCGGCCAAACGATCACGTTCCAGGACGCTTCGGCTACAGAGATGCAACATCGCATACAGGCTGCGTGGGCATGCTTCACAGGACACAGACAAGAGCTTACGAGCAAACAGTACCCACTCAAGCATAGGCTGCGACTCTACCGTGGCACTGTAATGCCCACCTTGACGCACGGCGCAGAGACGTGGACCTTGACAGAGCCTCTCAGACAACAGTTGCGCCGCACACAACAGCGAATGGTCAGAGCGATCATCGGGGCACCGAGAAGGCGCACGAACACTCTCACGTCAACACACCCCACCCCGCCCACGGGCAACCATAACGCCCACAACCCCAGCAGCGACCCGCAACCCCACCCCAGCAGCGATCACGACGCATCCAGCAACCCGCCTACTCCGCGCGAAGACACTAACGACGACCATCACCATGCCTGCGCGCAGACGACGGACGACAGCGAGCTGTGGTCCGATTTCATCCGCCGTAGCACGCGCAGAGCCGAGGAGCTAATGAGCATGCACGACATCCCTGACGTGGAGCAAATACACAAAACAAAAAGGTCTGGCGCTGGGCCGCACGGGTAGCACACCACGCACCGAACCGATGGACACAACGAGCATTGAACTGGAACCCTTCTCTCGACGAGAGACAGCAGGGCCATCGGCAACATGGCGGCCAACAAAAGCGGTGGGACGACGACGTTCGAAAGTTCCTCCAAAGTTTGCATCAGACCACCAACGACGCAGCCACACAAGGCAACACCAACGACGTAAGACGTTTGACAGCCGCAACGGAAGCGACGTGGTGGGGCGCACATGAAAGCAGTTTCCTTACATGCGCCAGTTGACTGTGCAAGCCGTCCAACAGCAGCAACGAAACCAAACAGCGGCACCAGCAACGCCAGTACAAGCATCGACCACATCAGCAGCAGCAAAACACCGACAGCACCGACTCAGCTCCAACCGCAGACACCAAGCAACGACCAGCAGCGCCACCAGCACCAAACGCCACCGACCACCACCGAACACCAGCATCGACCACCACGGACCCACACTGACCACCAGCACGTGGCACCGACCAGCAACACTGACCAGAACACAGGAACCGACCACCAGCACTCACCACAAACAAGCAACACCGACCACAAGTACAATCCTGAACTCTGTCTTGCTTGTCTTCTATCTGCGCCGGCTCGCGTACTACCTCGCCCACATATTCTATTTGTGCCGGTTGATGTCCCATTTCGACCACACGCTCTATTGTTCCGGTTCGTGAACCATGCCATCCAGAGTTTTTGCACCCACACGGTGTGAGGCTACGGCCTCTTGCGCCTTGCCCGAAGGGCACGGGCACCCCTGGTGCCCAGAACTGGAGCCTCCGCTCCGCACCCCCGGTGCCCAGAACCGGCCGCCTCCTCCTCCTCCTCCTTTTTCTCCTCCTGCCCCTCCTCCTCCTCTCGTCCTCCTCCTCTTCCTCCTTCCCCTCCTCCTCCTCCTCCTCCTCCTCCTCCTCCTCCTCCTCCTCCGCCTCCTCCTCCTCCTCCTCCTCCTCCTCGTCCTCGAGCGCTGGCTGATGCACCTGGGTGTTTGCCCTAGCGGCGCGTGCCGCTGGCAGGCGGGCAAGCTCTCGCGCGCTGCGGCCAGCTGCGCTGGGCGGTCGACCGAGGCGGATGGGTTGCTTCCCACACCCTGCCATGATGGGCCTGTTTTCCACCACCACCACCATAAGTTGGAGGGGGAGGAGGAGGAGGAGGAGGAGGAGGAGGAGGAGGAGGAGGAGGTGGAGGAAGAACCCGCCGGTCCGGGGTCGGACGGCTGCGCCGGGGGGGATACACCAGGAGAGGGGTCCTCTGGGCAACGACGTTTGATCGGATCTCCGTTGTCGTTCCCTCCCCCCCCTTCGTCTCTCCTTCCCTCCCTCCCTCCCTCCCTCCCTCCCTCCACCTCCCTTCTCCCCCCCCCCACCTCCCTTCTGGCTGGCCGATCCGTGCCTCCGCAGATAATTCCCTTTTTTTCGATCGTCCATGGGTCGCCCCGCGGATCGAGCGTCGAGCAAACATGTTTCCATTCCTTCCCTTCTATCAAAAGCTGGGCGAGGACTGGCAAGTCCGCGGCTGCTAGAGCCGTCTCCCCGCAAGAAACAAACACATTCCCGGAATGAAACCCGGGGCGCCAAATAGTACACGGGCTGGGTCCCGGAAGAACAAAACGGTCTCCGGGAGCTCCGCTTTAGCAGCCACGGGTTTGCCGGCCTTCGCCTGGCTTCTGACCATACAGGGCATTGTTTAATACATCGGATAAAAAAAACATCGATGTTTTATGTATGAACAAATGTATGCATGAACTCTACATTGTTTTTTATGCTAGATCCCTGCATTGTCATATAAAAAACGGCACTGTATACCCACTCCACCCTCCCTCCGTCGCGCTCGCCCTCCTGCCGCCCCTCTTGTGCCCTCGGGGTCTCGTTCTCGGGGCTCGCCGGCGGCCGTTCGGGACGATGGGGGCACCCCCGGCACGGCCTCGGCGAGGCGCAGCTGCGGGGAACCACCCCGAGGTCAGTAAATTGCCGAGCGACGAAACTGCCTCCTGCCCCCGTCACCTGCCTCCCTCCTCCTCCTCCGCCTCCTCCTCTTCCTCCTCCTCCTCTTCCTCATCCTCCTCCCTCCTCCTCCTCCTCCTCCTCCTCCTCTTCCTCTTCTGCTTCTCCCTCCGCCTCCCTTGCGAGAATCCTGCCGGTGGTCCAGACCTCCACCCCCTCCCCGCGCGCCCCCGCGCCTCAGGAGGGCAAGCGCCAGATCTCCGACCAGGTGCAGCAGGCCAGGGGAATGCGACATGCGGAATGGGGAATGCAGAATGAGGACGAGCAGGTGGAGGAAGAGGAGGAGGACGAGAAGAAGGAGGAGGAGGAGGAGGAGGAAGAGGAGGAGGAGGAGGAGGAGGAGGCGGAAGAGGAGGAGGCAGAGGAGGAGGTTGGAGAAGATGATGATGCTGATGATGATGATGAGGAGGAGGAGCAGGAGCAGGAGCAGGAGCAGGAGGAGGATGATGATGATGAGGAGGAGGATTATGATGATGACGATGCTGATGCTGGTGATCGTGATGATGATGCTGATGCTGAGGATGAAAATGAGGATGAGTTTGCGGATGAGGATGAGGATGAGGATGCTGATAAGGATGATGATGATGATGATGATGATGATGATGATGATGATGAGATGAGATGAGGATGAGGATGATGATGATGATGATGATTGTGATGATGATGATGATGATGATGATGATGATGCTGATGCTGATGATGATGATGATGATGGTAATGATGGTGGTGGTGGTGATGATGATGGTGGTGGTGGTGATGATGATGGTGGTGATGATGATGATGGTGATGATGATGATGCTGATGATGATTATGCTGATGATTATGCTGATGATGATGATGATGATGATGATGATGATGATGATGATGATGATGATGATGATGATGATGATGATGACGAGGAGGATTAGGACGAGGAGGAGGAGGCGGAGGACGAGGAGCGTCGCTGTGCTCCACCTTGTCGTCGCTTTGCTGGAGAAGCGCAGAGCGGGCGTGGGGATATGCGCGTCTCATGCGCAGGAGGGGAAGAGATATGAGGACGAGGGGGAAGAGGGTGTGGGGAGGGAAGGGATGGCAGGGACGGGAGAGGCGGATGAGGAACAGGGGAAACGACGGCGGACGCAGGAGGTGGAGGAGTTGCAGAAGGAGGTGCAGCAGAACGAGACGGAGGAGAAGGAACGATGGGGGACGGGAGGGGGCAGCAGGCTGGAGGGGAGATGTGAGGGTAAGCCCTCCGAGAAGTGTCCGCGGCTCCCGCCCTGGCCCCGCGGTTTCCGCCGTTCTGGTCTGAAGCGCAACGTGTCCAGGCCCTCTCCCTGCAGCATCGTGTCGCTCGCCTGCCAGGCACGGCAGAAGGTGTCGGGCCACGTGTACACGCCGGTCGTTGAAAGTAGGTATGTTTGGGCTCCCAGATCCCAATCTACATCAAGCGCCTCCCTACTTCAAAAGTCGACACGCTTTTGCTTTGTTTCGTTCTTCTCTGGGGGGGCCTGGACCCAATCAGCTTGATCCGCCTTCCTACTTCATGTTTTTACCTGCTTCTTCCGACCGACGTGTGGCCTATCGTGCGCAGACGTTGCATGTTTCGTGTCAAGTGGGGCGCCGGACGCAGGACACCAAGGAGCAGAGTGAGGGGGCCGAGCGGTCCCTCGCTGTCCCTGGGCGCGCGGCTGAGGCGAGCCTCCACGGTGCGGATTGCTGTTGCGTTGCTTGTTGTCTGTTGTTGCGTTGTTTGTCGTCGTTGTCCCACCCGCGATCCGGCCCGCGACCCACCCGCGACCCGCCCGCGACCCGCCCGCGACCCACCCGCGACCCACCCGCGCCCCGCCCCGCCACCCCGCGACCCACTCGCGAATCACCCACGACCCACCCGCGACCCATCCGCGACCCACCCGCGACCCACCCGCGACCCAGCCACATTGTTTAGACGAAAAAAGTCGGCGCCTGCGGCGGGCTCGTTGTATAACTTGTGAAAATTAGGCGCTTGCGGCGGGCTGCCTTAGACCCTCGCACTCTGTCGACGCCCCCGCCGCCCCCTCACTCTTATCCGCAACTGCGGGCTGGCGGAACGAACGCAGAGGCCTTGAACGCCGGAGATGGCGGACTGCAAACATGCTGACAGATGGTCAGTGAGAGCCTCGAAAAACGAGCCGCAGAGGCAAGGACGCAAGGGTAACCCTCAGGACATCCGTGCGTCCTTACTGGGATGACAAGGATGACAACGATGATCAACAACTACGCAATTTGTTATTCTATTCTAGATGCAGTCGCCTACACGCGAAAGAGCGGCGTGCCCACGGAATGTGTCGATTCGTGCCAGCGTCGCGCTTGCCTCCCTGCTGCGGTAGGCAGACGGCGACTGGGCCCTTTTCGGCCCCCTCTTTGGGTATGCCGCCCCAGGCCAAGGCTCTCCTCGCGCAGGCCTCGGAGGAGAAGAAGCTGCAGTTCACGATGCAGGTGCGCGCCCTATCCACAGAGGAGGGAAAGGCACCCCTGACCCTACCCTCGCCTCGTTTTCCCCTTTCGTGCCTCGTGGGAGGCCCTCGTCGCCACCGCTGGCTTCGCCTCGGAATCCTGGTCAGAACGCACACTGGGAGAGGTCCCGGGAGTAGCGGTATCGCTACCTTTTGGTGTCCCCACTATCCGCCTCGACCCCCTCAGCTCCTCCTCCCCCCCTGGCTCGCGCCCTGTTCCTGCTCCGCCCTCCGCCGTTGCCGCCTCACTGGGGCTCCCTCCGCCCCTCCCTCGTTGCCCCCCTCCCATTTTGGAGAGGGTCAGACCGCGCTCGAGGAGAGGTGCTGGGGGGCGGCTGAAAGAGACGAGGAGGAAGTGGTAACTAATGGTAATTTGAAGAAGAAGAAGAAGAACGCCATAAACATATTGAACGTTTGGCGCTTCGCGCGGATTTCCTGGATCTGCGCTGGGCCTCCCCGGCGGCGCCTCCGAAGCCGCCCCTGGCGCGCTCCGCGCGCCAGGGAGGGGTGTCCGGGTCGGATCCAAGAAATCCGCGCGGAGCGCCAATAGTGTATGTTTATGGCGTTTTATCTTCTTCTATTAATGGTGCATCGGCGAGTCCGCCGCGCCGCAACGCGGCTGGCCCAACCTACGTAGGCCAGCTCCTCGTTTGGGAAAGGCCCAAGCTCTGAGTCGGTGGCTTTGGCTGGCGGTGTCGCCCGCCTCAACTCTTCCGCCCACTCTTCCGCCGAGTCAGGCGACTCAAACCCGTGCAGGGGAGTGACCTTACGGTAGTTTCGTGCGGCGATGGCGCGCCGGCGGCGCCAGCGAAGGCGTTCAAGATTGAATTCTGCGACGAGGAAACATACTGGACACGATATCGCCGCTGGACCCGACTGAATCCACCTCTGCACGTTGGGGGCCCCGATCGATTCAAGGTTGAACGATCGACGCAGTGTCAAAACGTCTGCGCGCGCCGACGCCGCACGAACCTGCCGTAGATGAGTCCAGCGCAGGGACCTGCACCCCTTGCTGCCAGAAGCTGACAGGCCCCTCGCGGCCACCGAGCACAGACACCCCGGGCGGCCTGCCAGCGGGCCCGGACCCCGGCCCACCCCCAGAAGCCCCCCAGGAGCACCAGACTGGGATCCCGTCGGCTTCTCGTTCGGCCGTTCCACGCTGCTCTCGCTCAAACCTCTGAACCTTCAGGGCTTCTTCGAAGGGCTTAGGCGACCCGCCCTGCTCCTCCTCATCCTCCTCCTCCTCCTCCTCCCTCCTCCTCCTCCTCCTCCCTCCCTCCTCCTCCTCCTCCTCCTCCCCCTCCTCCTCCTCCTCCTCCTCCTCCTCCTCCTCCTCTCCCTCCACCTCCTCCTCCTCCTCCTCCTCCTGCTCCTCCTCCTCGGGTCGCCTACGGATCTGTGGTAGCCGTGCATCTGAACCCAGAGAGCCCCTTGGGCGAGACAGCGGAGGGGTGCACGCGGCGCTTGCGGCGACAGTTTTCGGTCTCGAGCCCAGCTCCCTGGGCTCGAACATACCTGTCCGCAAGCCCACTCCCCGTAGAGACCCTCTGGCCCACAGAGAGGCCCCGAGCGACCTACAGAAGAGAAGCGGGGGAAGGCGAGCACCCTCACCTCTGACATCACGCTTGACAACGTATTGCCCCCGAGAGCGCCACGGCAGCCCTGGGACCTCCCCAAGGCCCACACCGTCACCCCTATGCACCACATCCTTGGCCTCGGGCTCGGCACGTGGGCAGAGGAGCACGGTCCCTCCTCTCCCAACCAGGACCCACGGGCAGCAAGGGCTCCGTCGAAGCATTTCTCGCCCGTCGCGAGGCCAAGCTCGAGGTCCACATTCGGGATGCCAGCCACCCCGTCGGTGTCCAGAAGGAATCATTATCTTCCTGCCAAGCGGGCAGACCGCCCCTATGCAGCGTGCTGACTCTTGCGCGGCCGGGCCTCGCACGCCCCAGCGAAGAGAACGTGCTTCGCAGGGACCCTCCAGAGGCGGGCACCTTTCCTCCCCCTCCTCCTCCTCCTCCTCCTCCTCCTCCTCCTCCTCCTCCTCCTGTTCAGCTCAGCGGTCTGCAAGATCGTGCACGAGCTTAAGCCGAGCATCTTGGAGCGACCCAACCTGGCCAGCACGGGCGCGACCTCTGACCTGCCCGACCGTGGCGCTCTCGCCCCGCTCGCCCGAGCATCGGCGCCAGCAGTGCCCGCTGGTGCTCGAGGGGCCGAGGGCCTTCTTTTTCGGGTCAATGCAGGAGGGAAAAAACCACAGGCACAGTTAATCTTCGATTCCCCCGAAGACGTTGGAGACTATGGGAAGTGGGGTGGAAGACAAACGGCCAGAACATATGAGGAAATATGGGGGATCCTGTTATCTGTGTCTATTTATGTGTGTGTCCCAGGGCCCCTTCATCAGTGGCGCAGCCGATCGACCGCCGAGCAGTCCAGACAAAAACCGGCGAGGGGCCCGTCCACCCCTGGCTGCACTGAGCATTTGGCCTTCGATGCTCGTGTGGGTGCCCTTCCTGGGGCTCTGTCTGGCTCCAGTTGGATTCCAGTTCGGCTCCAGTTCAACTCGAGTTCGGCTCGGGTTCGGCCGACTCAGGTTCGACTCAGGTTCGACTCGAGTCGACGGGCGCCCGATGCCGCTTTGACGCACGAGAGGAGCGAGTGGCTCCACGGAGGTCTCCAGAACGAGCGTCCAATTCGCTAGCATGTGAACCACAAGGTCTTCGGCCTCTCTCGAGCTCTGGCGGTGTGGCCACGCCAGGGAGACGGCAACATGCACGGCGCAACGGAGGTTGCGCCGTCGCCATTGTTACAGACAGCCGCCTGGCCCGCTCTACGCAGGCCTCCGTACGGAGTTTGGAACGACAGCCTGTCCGCGAACACGTATGGGGCGCTCCAAAAAAAGGCTTCGGTTTCGATGACAGAAGGAGTTGTTATCTCTTCCTCGGCGGAGTTAGAGGGCGCGGGAAGGTCGGCGGAGGTAAAGCGAGGCCGCCTCCGCCTGCGGAAGCCGGCGGAAGGCTGGCGGACGGCGGCGGAAGGAAAAGATGCACCCCCGCGAGATGACAACAGTGGGATCCGAGTTTCTGGAGTCGGCCACATCTTTCGAAGAGCCAGCCAGGCACACGACCGGCGAACCTGCACTGGTCGGCCTCATCCACCGCGGCTTGGCCAAACAGCTGCGCAGGAGAGGGCAGGATGCCTCTCGCGAAACAACTCGGCCTTCTGACTGCCATGTGCGGCAACGGTTCTTGCAGCCATGAGAATCTCAGGAGGGCCGTCCTTCCGCTTGATGACGGACGTGCACGGACCGTCGCAAACGCGATGCCGAAGGATGCCGTTGGCCCCGCATTGCCAGCACAGGGGTCTGCAATATGTGCCAGCTTCAAAGGGCCTCTGCTGGTACAAGTGGGCCCCACAGTTGACCGACCTGAACGCAGTCTTGTGCATCTTGCACCGAATTTCCGAATTGGCACGCTGCAACTCCGCCAGCACTTGGCCCTAATGGATCTCCACACAGGCCTTAATCCGACGTGGAACCATGGCATCAGAAGCTGTGGACGCCGCCTGACGAGCAAGCAACGTCAGTATCCCAGGCGACAGAAACTTCAAGCCTACCTCCGGCCTACGATGGTCGCGGTCTGATCAGTACATTTCGCCCACGGGCTCTCGGTCCTGAGGATACCCAGAGCCGCCTCATGCACCGACTCGAGGACTGCACTGCTGCTCGCGAGGCCGTCATCCACCGCCTTCGCCCACGCCTTGGCAACCCCAGCACTGTTCAGGAGCGCATGAAAGACGTACACGTACGTGAATCCACGATGTTTTCGAGAGTACGCGTTGCGCGAACGTTTGTATCACGCGTCTGGTCTCGCGGATTTGGGGACCGTGTTCATGTACAGTGTTGGGCTCGTACGTCTTTTGTGGGCTCCCTAATTGTGCACCACCAGCGGGTCACAGAACTTCGCCCTCCTCATCGGCTTCACCTTGAGCCCAAGGGTGATTCTTGGCGCCAGTCGGCCCTCTGATCGCAGCGCATGGACCTTAGGCCCGTTCAGCTTGCCGTCGGCGATGCCCATCATAGTTGAGCCCCCCCCACACACCGCCGTCGCACACGGTGATCCACGATGCATGTGGCTGGTCTTCGCTCCAGCCGACTGCAGCACCTCGATTATCGTTTCTGATGGTGAAGGAGGAGGCGGCGGAGTTGGAGGGGGAGGGGGAGGAGGAGGAAGAAGAGGAGGCGGAGGAGGAGGAGCAGGAGGAGGAGGAAGAGGGAGAGGAGTGAGTGGATGAGGATGAGGAGGAGCAGGGGAGAGGACAGGAATGATAACATTGAGGGACGCTGGAGGAGGACGACGATGCGGGAGCTGGCAGAGCAGAGGAGGGCGACGAGGAGGAGCAGGGGGGGGGGGAGTTGTGGGAGGGCGACCGCGCCGAATGAGGGAGGGGAGGGGAGGAGAGGGAGGGGAGGGGAGGGAAGGGGAGGGAGGAGGAGGAGGACGAGGAGGAGGAGGAGGAGGAAAATGAAACGGAGGAGGAGGGGAGGAGGAGGAGGAGGAGGAGGAGGAGGAGGAGGAGGAGGAGAGGAGGAGGAGGGGGGAGAGAGGAGGAGGAGGAGGAGGAGGAGGAGGAGGGGGAGGAGGAGAAGGAGGAGGAGGAGGAGGAGGGGGGGGGGAGGGAGGAGGAGGAGAAGGAGGAGGAGGAGGAGGAGGCGGAGGAGGAGGAGGAGGAGGAGAGGAGGAGGAGGAGTGAGGAGGAGGAGGAGGAGGAGGAGGAGGACGAGGAGGACGAGGAGGACGACGAGGACGAGGAGGACGAGGAGGACGAAGAGGACGAGGAGGACGAGGATGACGAGGAGGACGAGGAGGAGGAGGAGGACGAAGATGATGATGATGCTGAGGAGGAGGAGGAGGAGGAGGAGGAGGATGAGGAGGAGGATGAGGAGGAGGAGGAGGTGGAGTGAAAAGATGATGAGGAGGAGGAATAATAATGATAATAATAATAATAAGAACTAATACTCATCATAATAATAAGAAAGATAATAATACTACGAATAATAGTAATAATAAGATAGAGACGAAGCATAACACGAATACTAAGAATAATAAGGCGAAGAAGACTAAGACGAATCCGATACATACTAATAGTAATAACATCGATAATACTATTCATAAGACGTGTAATAAGAATATGATTAATAATACCCAGGATACTAATATGAACAATAAGCAGAAGACTAGTACTAAGACTAAGAATAATGGTAATAATAGTAATAATATTAATAATAATACTATTAATAATACGAAACATAACAGATTTCTATTATGAAGAATAAGAATAAGAACAATAATAATAATACTAATACGATGAATACCCAGAAGAAAGCGAATAATAATAATACGAATACTAATCCTAATAATAATAATGATAATAATAACAATGGTAATATTAATAATAATAAAAACAATAATAGTACGAAGAATAATAATAACAATAATCATGAGACAAAATAAGAGGAGGAGGAGGAGGAGGAGGAAGAGGAGGAGGGGGAGGGGAGGGGGGAGGGGGAGGGGGAGGGGAGGGGAGGGGGGAGGAGGGAGGAGGAGGAGGAGGGGGTCGGGGAGCGGGGAGGATTGAGGCGGCGCAGAGCAGCGAAGGGGCGAGGCTGGTCATCCAAGACGGGAGTGATGACTTCGGGAGGTCACGTTACGGCAGAGGGGGGGGTAGGCGCAGGAGGGGATGCAGCGACCATCAATCGCCCATGCATCTTCGCCCAAGGGGCCTTGTAGCCCACGCCGACCAGGAACGTTCGGCCATGACGGGCGAATCATATCCTCTTCCTGGCCCCGAGCTGGGAGGGAGAATGCAAGCGTGCCTGTCCTGGTCGACCGCCGGCCCAGAGCCCCGGTCTTCCTCTGCAGGAGCTCTCCCTCGGACCCCACCCCGACCTCACCAGAGGTGGAGGAGAAGCTGATGCAGGACGAACTGAGTCTGGACGAGCAAACGCACTCCCAGGCCCTCACCCCGTGCCTTGCCTCCCTGACTGCGCCGTCGTCGCGCTGTCGCCTCCGTCGTCGTATCCGTCGTCGTCGTCGTCGTCGTCGCCGTCGTCGTCGTCGTCGTCGTCTTCGTCGCCTTCGCGTCGTCGTCGCCGCCGCCGCCGTCGTCGTCGATCTGCTGCTGCCGACGCTGCCCCTTCCGTTATGTCGGGCGTGTCCCCCTACAGGGGGATTTTCGACGAATGACGCAAAATACCCCACGAAGATCACTCAAAAAACAGCCCCCAGACCAACTTTGGACTATGTTTTGATTATTCTTGGGGTTTTGTGTTTATTTTGCGTCGAGGATCCCCCTGTAGGGGGACAGGCCCGACGTGAGCCTCCTGCTCGTCCTGCGCCCGTGGGCGGTCTTGGCGGGGGGGGGGGGGGGGGGACCCCCCCCACCCGTGGCCCTCCTTGGGCCCTCCTTGGAAGGGGCGGCGTCGCCCCTGGGCACCCCGATCTCGCCCGCCTCTGGCCGGACATGGCCGAGCCCCCAGGCGAGGGGACCCCGTCAGCGGTCGGGGCCCCACCCCAGGTTTGGGAGCCTTGAGACGGGGGTCAATGCAAACGGGGGTCAGCCAGGGCGCCAGATCCTGCAGGATCCTGCGAAGACCCCCTCTGGCTGACCCGGGTTAGCGAGCCGTTCGTGGCCGCGAGGCGGCCGCACATATTGGCTGACCCGGGTTTGCGAAGATCTGCGTTGCAGTTTTTTTTGCCTGCTTTGCAGTTTTTGGTTTCCTGCTGACCCGGGTCTGGATTGACCCGGGTCAGAAGATCCCCGACAGGTAGGGGAACGAAAAATGGCATAAGCATACAAACTCGGAGGTCCGCGCAGATGTGTCTCCTTCGGGGAACAAGGAGGGGCATAACCAGTATCAGGGGAACAATGAAGTGGCATAAACATAAGAACTCGGAGGTCCGCGCGGAGTCCTCGGATCGGCGCTGGGGCCCCCGGCGGCGCCCCTGGCGCGCTCCGCGCGCCCAGGAGGAGGGTCCAGCGCCGATCCGAGAAATCCGCGCGGACCTCCGAGTTGGTATGTTTATGTCACTTCTTGTTTCCCTGAAAATCGCTAAACCAGGTGTGCCGTAGGGGGTGTTTTTTTCGGGTGACGGCAGTTCCGGTTAGCGGAACGTGTGGGGGGTGGGCGTCCCCCAGTACACATCCACTAAACCAGGTCCCACCAAACCCAGTTCTGCCAACGCCCGACCTTGGTCATTTTGTCATGGGGGGGGGCGATGAGTGGGGTCATCGGGGCAATTTGCAGGAATCGGAAGGAGCCCAAAGGGGGCTCCCTGTGGCCCCTGAGGTGCGCGAACGGTTCACCCACCACAGATGGGGTGGGTGGCCTGTGGTGTGGCATCGCGCGCAGGCGCGGAGGTCGTGCCGCGAGCACATCCTTCGACACTGATGACGAAAGAACAACACACACCCATACCCATAGGGAGGTCGTTGGGAGGAGGACTGGCTATGGGTAAGGGTGCGGGTTGTCGGACCCTGGGGAACGCTCCCGTTCGAGCGGCGACCCACAATCTGACAACACGCACCCATAGCCCTCTCCGATCCCCCTATGGGTACGAATGTGTGTTGTTGGTTTGTCAACTGAGCTTTTCTGAAGCCAGGGATATGCGGCAGTGCAAGCGAGCTCGACGCTCAGAGAGCCACGTCTATTCCAGCGGGCGCCTCGGGCCACGAGTACCATCCGACGCAGGTGTCTCTTCTTCAGTGGAGGCCCATGCCAAGAAACACCCTGCTTACAGTGCCGTTTTTAATACATGCTCCGCGTGCGGATCATGTATTAAACATGCAGGGATGTAGCATTAAAAACAACGAGGAGTTCATGCATACATTTATTCATACATTGATCATGAATTAAAATCATATGTTTTTTCTTGTTTTCAAAATCCTAAGTATAAAAAACTGCCCTGGACCTCCAGGGTGCCCTGTGTTTCTCGGGTTTCGATGGTTTTTTGCGATGGAACGTGTGACGCCCCCACACCGAAAATCAAGGCACACCCTGGGGTCCCTGGGCTGGATCTCTTGTGGAAGGCTTCTTGTGGGCCGGCCTCCACTGTGCGTGGCTGCTGGCGAGAGCGTCCAGCGGCTCTCACGGGCAGCGTGCCTCACCGGGGAGGCAGCTCGAGTCTGCTGGGCAGCGCCCGAGCAGCACGGCGGTGCCGGGGCGCCGTGCGCTCCGGGCCGCCCGCAGGTCCGCGGAGACGGTGCGTTGGGCCTCGCGACCGGGGCCACAGGGCCTCTCCCTCTCAACGGGGGGGGGGCGACCGAGTGTGCGAAGGAGGAGGAGGAGGAGGAGGAGGAGGAGGATGAGGAGGAAGGAGAGGGAGAGGGAGGAGGAGGATGGAGAGGGAGAGGAAGGAGGAGGAGGAGGAGGAGGAGGAGGAGGAGGAGGACAGCACCTCGCTCTGGGCCGCGCGGCACGCGGCGCGCGGCCGAAGGTGACCCAGGCTGTCGGATGCCTTGGCCTGCCGTCAGCATCGGCCCCACGAGGGCGAGCGGCAAGAGGCAAGGGTCGCTTGCGTCCGACGGCTCCGGTCAACCTTGGCAAGGATTTTCGCCTGCCGTAAGTACTATGGGCGCCGTCATGCAGTTCCTAGGCAACCCGCATCCGCATTCTTGCTTCTTGACCGACTAGTAAGCACCTGGGTGCTCTCGGCCTTTTTTCTTTTTCTCCAGCTTGGCGTTCTTCCTGTACCGTTCGACGATTTCCAGGAACGCTCCATCTCGTTGACGCCGTTGTCGCCGTTCATGATGTTTGTGGTTGGTTTACTCAGCCTGCCATGTCGAGGTCATGCAGCTGCACCAGGCGGCCCTCTCGCAGAAGCAGCAGCTCGAGCATCAGGCCGTCCCGGATTGGCACGGCGCGGGGTGCCAGTGGTTGAGAGGGAAGAGGTCGGGCGGGGGGAGGACACACATTCGGAGGATGCGGGGACGAGGGTGGGACGAACGGGGGAGGAGGGTGAGCAGGAGTGGAAGGACGATGAGGAGGAGGGAGAGGAGGAGAAGCAGGAGGAGGAGGAACAGGAGAACCCATGTCAACAGGGTTGCATCTGGGTGCATCCTGGAACCCATGTGGTTGAAGGGGTGCTGGCAACCCACGTCGAAAAGGGTGCACTCTCAAATTGCCTCCGCCGAGGCTTCAGCCAACCGAGCGGTGCTAGGGCTGCCTGTTGCTCAGAACGACGAAGATCAATGTTTCACATGCGGCAGTCTTGCAGCGAGTGGGTAGATTGGATCACCGCACTGTGTTCATGGTGGCCCTTTGAGATACTTGCACAGACTGTTACAGCATGCGCCATCGGGCCTGCTGGTCGCTAATGATGTGCTTTGGGATGATGGTGGTGGTGGTGATGATGCAGATGGGTGATAGTGATAATGATGCTTCCAGTGATGATGATGATGATGATGATGCTAATACTGGCGATGAAACATGCTCATGATGATGGTTATGCTGCTGATGCTGGTGATGATGGTCATCCTGATCATGATGCTGATGCTGTTGAGAAGGATAATGCCGGTGATATGATGATGATGATGATGATGATGACGATGCTGATAATGATGATGATGGTGGTGCCGGTGATGATGATGACAAGGATGGTGATGTCGGTGATGATGATGATGCTTGTGATGATGAGTATGGTGTTCAGGATGGTGATGATGGAGATGCTGTTGATGATGATGATCCTGCGGCTGATGATGCTGATGTTGATGCTTATGATTATGTTGATGATGGTGTCGATGATGACGATGTCAGTGATGGTCATGATCATGCTGATGATGATGATGATGATGATGATGATGATGATGATGATGCGGATCAAGTATAAGGCTGATGATGATGCTGGTGATGATGCTCATTCTGGTGATGCTGATTATGATGCTGGTGATAATCATGTTCATGGTGATGTTTGCATTGATGATCATGTTGCTGCTTCTGGTGATGATGCTAACGATGAAGGTGATAAACAAGATGACGATGGTAATGGTCATGATGGTGATGATGCCGATGATGCTGATGATGATAGTGATACTGGTGCTTGTGATGCTGATGCTGCTGATGATGATGATGCTGTCGGTGATGATGAGACGATGATGATGGTGATACTGATGATGATGACGTGGTCATGATGATGACGATGCTACTGTTGATGGTGATGACGCTGCTAGCGATGCTGATGCTGATGTCGATGCTGGTGATGATGATGACGATTATGATTATGATGACTGATGATGTTGTGTGTCATGATGATGTTTATGCTGGTGATGGGGATGATGCTGATGCTTATGCTCATGGCGATGCTGCTCAGAATGGTGATGCTGGTGATGATATTGCGGATGCTGATGCTGGTGATTCTGATGATGATATTGGCGATGATGATGATGTTGGTGGTCATGATGATGATGATGATGATGATGATGATGATGATGATGTCGATGCTGATGATACTGATGACTATGATCATGATGCTGGTGATGCTGATTTTGACGCTGGTTATGATGCTCATGCTGGCGATGATGGTGATACTGTTGTATCTGATGCTGATGCTTGTGATGAGTATTATGATGATGGGGATTGTGATTCTGAAGATGCTGTTGATGATGCTGATACTGATGCTGATGCGGATGCTTATGATGATGATGCTCAGGCTGGTGATGATTAATGTGGAGCTGGTGATGCTGGTGATGGTGCTGGCAATTGTTAGACTGATCATCATTATGATGCTGTTGGTGATGGTGCTGATGGTGATTATGATGATGACGCTGCTGGTGATGCAGATGATGCTGGTGATGATGCCGATGATGGCGGTGATGCTTGTGAATGTTGATGCTGCTGCTGATGATGCTCATGATGCTGATGCTGATGATGATGCTGGAGAGGATGTGTATTTTGATGGTGCTGATACTGATGATGACGATGATCATAATGTTGATGATGATGATGATGCCACTGGTACTGATGATGATGACGACCATGAGGTTGACGATGCCGGTCACGGTGAAGGCGATGATTCTGCTGATGATGTTGACGCCGATTGTGATGATACTTCTGGTGATGGTGATGCTGCTAGTCATGTTGATGTTGTTTGAGATGATGCTTATGCTGATGATCATGATGACGGTTGTAGCTATGGTAATGTTGATGATTGTGATGGTGGTGGTGATGAGGTTGATGATGATGCTGTCGCTGATGATTGTGATGCTGATGCTGGTGATGTCGACAGATGATGGTGATGCAGTTGATGATGGTAATGCCTGTTTGTCATGGTGCTGACCACGGTGGTGGTGGTGTGGATGTTGATGGCGATGTTGATGGCGATGATGATGATGTTGATGGCGGTGTTGATGGTGTTGGTGGTGGTGCTGGTGGTGCTGGTGGTGACGACGGTGCTGATGATGATGCCGTCGTCGACGACGACCATGATGATGACGGCCATGATGATGACGATGATGATGACAATGATGATGATTTTCACGGGTATGCAGCTGGTGAGGTAAATGAACAACGTGATGACAGTGATGATGACAGCGCCGAAGATACAACATGCGTTGTTGATGGCGGTGGTGGTGAATTCAATGATGCTGATGATGATGATGGTGATGCTAATGATGATGATGATGATGCGGATGATAATGATGATGATTTTCATGATGCTGATGATGATAATGATGCCGATCTTGGTGATGATGATGTTGCTGATGATGAGGCTGGTGATGATGATGGTGGTGATGACGATATGTTGGTGATGCTGATCATGCTAGTAATGATGATGATGTCTGTGATGATGATGATGATGCTGCTGGCGATAATGACACTCTCCATGGTGGTGATGCCAATGATGCTGATGCTGGTGACGATGCTCATGCTTGTGATGATTTGGATGCTGACGAAACTGATGTGGGCGATGATGAGTATGATGATGATCCTGATGATGATGATGTTGATAACGACGACACTGATGATGATGATTATGATGACGATGACTACGCTGTTGTTGATGATGCTGACGATGCTGATGTTGATGCTGGTGCCGATGTGCTGCTCATGATGGGACTGGTACTGCCGATGATGATGATGATGCTGACGATGATGATTTCGATGACGGTGATGGTACTGGTGGTGATGACGGTGATATTGATGATGATGACGACGATTATGATGATGAGGATGATGATGATGGTGATGATGTTGGTGATGGTGATGATGTTGGTGATCGTGATGACAGTGGTCATGGTGATGATCATCATGCTGCTGTTGATGAGTATGATGATGACTATGATGATCATGACGTTGATGACGATGACTAAGATTATGTTCATGTTGGTGATGGTGATTGTTATGCTGATGATTTTGATTTTTATTCTGGTGATGACAGGTAATGGTGGTGCTGCTGATGATGCAAATGCCTGTCTTTGGTGATGCGGGTGATGGTGGCGATGGTTAGGATGATGTTGACGATGCTGATAACGAGGATGTTGGTGATGGTGGTTGTGGTGACGACGACGAGGATGATGATGTCGATGATGCTGATGATGATGGTCATGATGATGATGATGCTGATGATGATGATGATGATGATGATGATGATGATGATGATGTTCACCGGTGTGCTGCTGGTGGGGATAATGATCGTGGTGATGACGATGACGATAATGATGGTAATATTGCCGACGATACAGCATGCGTTGATGATGGTGGTTGTGGTGAAGTTGATAATGATAATAATGCTGATGATGATGATGATGATGAGGAGGAGGAGGAGGAGGAGGACACCAGGATCGTGTATGTGTTTGTGTCCTTGGCGGCGGTCCCGAGCAAGGCCAGCGGGCTGAAAATGGAGTACAAGAAGCAGCAGATGAAGGACAGCATGGCCCTCAAGCGCTACGAGCTGCAGATGCGGCAGTGCGAGATGCAGGACCTCCTCCTCCTCCTCCTCCTCGGGCCCAGGCGTCTCGTGCTTCGAAGAATCGAGTTGGGTCAGTTCGACGCCATGTCTGGCCTCTGGAGTTCTGATGTTCCAACCTACTCTAGCCTTGACCACCAGAAAGAAACATAATTTCGAGCACCAAGAGAGTACCGAAACTTGAGAGGGTCTTCGCGTGCCGGGCCCTGGGAGGTGATCCTGGCTCGACACCGTTTTGATACACTCTCCTGCGTGCTCGGAATTACTTCTGAGAGGTGGCCAACACAACTCTGGAGGCAGCCTCTGGGCGTCGGGGCCTTCCGGCGGCGCTGCCGCACGTCTCCCCCCGTCGCGCCCGATAGCGGGCGGGCGCGGTCGCGGGGCGGCTCCGGAGGCGGGCGGCGGGGCGCCGCGGCGCCCGGCCATGCCCGCCCCTGTTCGGCCCCGCCGCTGGGCGCGCTCCCCGGTGCAGTGGAGGCCCATGCCGAGAACAGGGGGCCACGTGCGAACCCTGCCCCTGCCCCCCACGATTTCGAAGGGGAGGGTGGGGTTCCCTTCACTCGGGAGCTCCCGAGCGAAGTGAACCCCGCCCTCCCCCTCAGACATCGTGGGGGGTAGGGGTAGGGTTCGCACGTGCCTCCCGAGAGAAGCACCCTGCTTGCCTGTAGTCGGGCCTGTCCCTCGACAGCAGGAATATTCGAAAACAGCACACAAAAAGAATCTGGGGACGATTGTCTGACTGTTTTTGGCAATTGTTGCGTCTTTTGTTGAGTATGCTAAATTTTTCGTCCTAAATCCGCCTGTAGGACATGCCCGACCTAATGCTTGCCCCCAGGGTGCCCTGGGTTTCTTGGGTTCCCCTCTGGTTTTGCCTGGGGTCTCAGGGTCGGGTCTCTCGTGGAAGGTTGCTTGTGGTCGGGCCTCCACGGTAGGTGTGTGTGTGTGTGCGTCTGGCGCTGGGAGGCGCGCAGGGAGAGTCAGCTGCGTGAGCTTGTTCGCCAACCCTCCCTTGGGTATCCCTTTCGGTAGCAGATCATGGGAGACTGGTACGGGGAAGCTATCTGTGCGGGCCCGGCCCGGTTGTGTTGCATGATCTGGGCTTCTGGTTGCGTCGGGCCGCGCCGAATTTGAAAAGGGATAGTGACACCCCTTTTTCCCGTATTGCCCCTTCTTTCCAGCCCTGAGTGTTACCTGCTTCCCTGCCCTCTTTCTTCGTCGATTCGCGTCGACCGACGTCTAGAGTCGAGGAGGTAGCGATGAGATAGCGACGACCTAGCGTCGATCTAGCGTCGATTCGCGTCGAACTGGCGTCGGATTGGGGTCGCTTCGGAAGAGCCGACCCGATGGTACTGGAGGCTGCCAGGAGTTGCCGTCGCAGTCCCCCCCGCTGCGTCCCAGCCCGAGAGGGTGTTGGAGCGGGGCCCTTCTCTTGGCATCGCTCGGACGTGTGCATTTTTCCTTCGGCGAGGATCATCGAGGAGCATCCTCGATCATTTGGCGAAAAAACCACCGCGAACGCAAAAAAAACACAGGGAATGGACGCCCGAGCGATGGCGAGTTCTGGGCGTCCGCGGCGAGACGGCCGCGCGGCGGCCTCGGGCCAGCAGCGCTGGGGCCTCCGTGACCGCGGGCGGGCGGGAGGGCCAGCCCGTGCAGGGGCACTCGGCCTCTACGGGGCCCAGAGGCACACGCCTCTGCCAGGAAAGGTCGGGGGCGGACAGAACCCCCAAACAGTGAATCGTCCGTTTTCGGTTCTCGAGAGGGCCCCGTGGCCGTCATTTTCCAGGCTTGCGCCCGCCATGCTTGGGCCTCAGGTATGGCCAACCAGCTTTTCGACTGGTGCAGCACATCCCGCCCTCTATTCCTCCCCGCACCCTTTTGACCCAATACCAACATCAGCCGACTCCTACACGCCAACGTGCAGGTTTGACTTTCTTGCACGGCGTTGCCGCGGCAGGACATGACAAGGGGAGGGAACTGCCTGCGCAAACTCTCCTGGGTGCAAAGCCCGGCTGAAGCTGTAGCGGGTGGGTGGAGAGGGATGGGAATCTAGTGCTGACGGTCTTATTGTCCTGGAGGGAGGAGGGAGGAGGGAGGAGGGAGGGAGGAGGATGGTGGAAGGAGGAGGGAGAAGGGAGGAGGGATGGAGTGAGCGATGCAGATGGGAGGGGAGGGGAGGGAGGAGGGGGAGGGGGGAGGGGAGGAGGAAGGAGGAGGAGGAGGAGGAGGAGGAGAGGAGGGAGGAGGAGGAAGAAGTGCCGGGTCGTTGTCCTCGTCGTCGTCGCCGCGACCGACGGGCCTCCGCCCGCTCTGCCCCCGGCCCGAGGAGCGGCTGCAGCTGGCGGCCCGCGGGGCCCTCTCGGGCCCGGGCTCGCTGGGAGAGCACTCGCAGGCGCGCCCCTGCCCCCGGCCCCCCGTCCTCCGCGCAGGGGGAAGGCCTGGCTTCAGAGCCCCGAATCATCAGGGGTAACTCGGGTCAGGGATAATTCGGGTTCCTTTTTCAGGAATCCAGAGCACTCGCAGGCGCGCCCCTGCCCCCGGCCCCCCGTCCTCCGCGCAGGGGGAAGGCCTGGCTTCAGAGCCCCGAATCATCAGGGGTAACTCGGGTCAGGGATAATTCGGGTTCCTTTTTCAGGAATCCAAGCCCGAGTTACCCCGGACCCGAGTTACCCCGGATAACTCGGGCGCCCAATGGCTCGCGACTCGACAGCGGGCGGTCGGAGGAGGAACCGCTATACCCCTCGCCCGCTTTCCCCTCCTTGGGCCCCCTCTCGGAGGCCCTCGACTCGCTGCCACTGCCGAGCTCGCGCCTCGAGATCCTGGCCCGAGTTCGGGCCCCGGGGAGAGAAGTCCAGGGAGGAGCGGTATAGCGGTGCCCTTCCACTGCCCCCTGGCTCGAGCCAGTGGGCGGGGCTCGAGGTCCGAGGCGTTCGGGCGCCCTGAGATCCGACGCAGCGAAAAGAACGTAGCATCGTGGAACACCGCGCCCGGAGCCCCGGACCCCATCTTGCGGCGTCCTTCTTCGAGGCGGATCGGCCCGTGAGGGCCCCGGAGCCCGAGGAAAAAAAAAAGCGAACACGCCCGGCTCGAAAGAGTGGAGTCGCCAGGATCTCGGGGCGTGCTCTGCGCGAGTTCGTGGGGGCTTGCTCTTCAGACTCGGGGCCCTCTTGGGCCGCTCGGGCGCCTCTTGGGCCGTCTAGGCGCCCTCTTGGGCCGTTTTGGGGGCGTCTTGGGCCGGTCTTGGGGGCCTCTTAGACCGTCTTCAACGCCGTGAAAGCCGAGAAGCCGTGCATGCTGAAAATGCACCTTTTTCCCATAGGAAATCAATGATTTTGGCCTTCTGGTGGCCTCTTGGGACGCCTCCTGGGTGCTTTCCGCGGGCGCCTCGCCGAGGGCGTGCCGCGGGGTGCCCTCGAGGCACGGCCCGGGCACCGCCCGGGGCCCACGTCTCCAGCGTGCTGCGGCGTGCAGCACGCAGCTCTTCCCGGAGAGGGCGTGGGCCGTGGGTTGTCTTGTAGCATCTGGACGCCCGAAACGGGTACGGAAAGAATAAGGGGAGGCCTAAGGGAGGCCTGCTAAAGGGAGGTTTGTCCACCGCCGATTTTTGGGGAGTCCCGACACGGTGCGGTGACGGACCGCGCAGTGCCTTCGAGCTCCCCCGAGACCGGTATGGTGCGTCAGCGCACGGCTTCTGGGACCCTCGGCTGCAGAAGTCGCCCGAGACATCCTCGGAGAACGACCCGAGTCCCCAATTGTCTGGACGCCCGAAATGGGCACGGAAAGAATGGGTACGATGCCCAACAGCAGTTCCTGTTCATGTTGAACAGGACTCGCTGTCCACGCGGCCGCGGCCGGTGTCCGTTTGAGACAGAAGGCCGCCTGCCCAACAGCGGCCGCTGTCGGTTTGGGACAACATTTGTTGGTGGGCATGGTACCCGTCTTTTCCGTACCCATTTCGGGCGTCCAAATAGTAGGTCAGCCTGTCCCTCCAGGTATAGACCTCCTACCCTGACACGTCCATGAGGGAGCTGGCCGTTTTCGGTTCGCGAAGAGGGCGTCGCGGCCGTCATGTTTGCGGGTCCGGGTCCGTCCGTTTCGGTCCGATGGCTGTTTTCACGAAGGGGAGGCCTACTAAAGGGAGGTTTGTCCACCGCCGATTTTGGGGAGTCCCGACACGGTGCGGTGACGGACCGTGCGGTGCCTTCGAGCTCCCCCGAGACCGTACCGCACGGTTCGTCAGCGCACGGCTTCTGGGACCCTCGGCTGCAGAAGTCGCCCGAGACATCCTCGGAGAACGACCCGAGTCCCCAATAGTCTGGACGCCCGAAATGGGTACGGAAAGAATGGGTACGATGCCCAACAGCAGTTCCTGTTCATTTTGAACAGGACTCGCTGTCCACGCGGCCGCGGCCGGTGTCCGTTTGAGACAGAAGGCCGCCTGCCCAACAGCGGCCGCTGTCGGTTTGGGACAACATTTGTTGGTGGGCATGGTACCCGTCTTTTCCGTACCCATTTCGGGCGTCCAAATAGTAGGTCAGCCTGTCCCTCCAGGTATAGACCTCCTACCCTGACACGTCCATGAGGGAGCTGGCCGTTTTCGGTTCGCGAAGAGGGCGTCGCGGCCGTCATGTTTGCGGGTCCGGGTCCGTCCGTTTCGGTCCGATGGCTGTTTTCACGAAGGGGAGGCCTACTAAAGGGAGGTTTGTCCACCGCCGATTTTGGGGAGTCCCGACACGGTGCGGTGACGGACCGTGCGGTGCCTTCGAGCTCCCCCGAGACCGTACCGTACGGTGTGTCAGCGCACGGCTTCTGGGACCCTCGGCTGCAGAAGTCGCCCGAGACATCCTCGGAGAACGACCCGAGTCCCCAATAGTCTGGACGCCCGAAATGGGTACGGAAAGAATGGGTACGATGCCCAACAGCAGTTCCTGTTCATTTTGAACAGGACTCGCTGTCCACGCCGCCGCGGCCGGTGTCCGTTTGAGACAGAAGGCCGCCTGCCCAACAGCGGCCGCTGTCGGTTTGGGACAACATTTGTTGGTGGGCATGGTACCCGTCTTTTCCGTACCCATTTCGGGCGTCCAAATAGTAGGTCAGTTTGTCCTCCAGGTATAGACCTCCTACCCTGACACGTCCATGAGGGAGCTGGCCGTTTTCGGTTCGCGAAGAGGGCGTCGCGGCCGTCATGTTTGCGGGTCCTTTTTCGTCCGTTTCGGTCCGATGGTTGTTTTTCATTCAGGAGAGGCCTACTAAAGGGAGGTTTGTCCACCGCCGATTTTGGGGAGTCCCGACACGGTGCGGTGACGGACCGTGCGGTGCCTTCGAGCTCCCGCGAGACCGGTACGGTTCGTCAGCGCACGGCTTCTGGGACCCTCGGCTGCAGAAGTCGCCCGAGACATCCTCGGAGAACGACCCGAGTCCCCAATAGTCTGGACGCCCGAAATGGGCACGGAAAGAATGGGTACGATGCCCAACAGCAGTTCCTGTCGATTTTGAACAGGACTCGCTGTCCACGCCGCCGCGGCCAGTGTCCGTTTGAGACAGAAGGCCGCCTGCCCAACAGCGGCCGCTGTCGGTTTGGGACAACATTTGTTGGTGGGCATGGTACCCATCTTTTCCGTACCCATTTCGGGCGTCCAAATAGTAGGTCAGCCTGTCCTTCCAGGTATGGTATAGACCTCCTACCCTGACACGTCTGCGGGCAATAGTTATATCCACATCCAGTCCGTCTTGGATTCTTGGGTCTCTTCCCCAGAAACCGTAGACGCACTGGATATGGATAAAAATCTGGCCCCAAGAGACTTGATTTTATCCATATCCAGTGCGCCTCGGCGTTGCGGCACCTCTTCCCAAAAAGTCCACGACGCTCTGGATATGGATATAAGTACTGCCCGCAACGTCGATGAGGGAGCTGGCCGTTTTCGGTTCGCGAAGAGGGCGTCGCGGCCGTCATGTTTGCGGGTCCAGGTCCGTCCGTTTCGGTCCGATGGTTGTTTTCACGAAGGGGAGGCCTACTAAAGGGAGGTTTGTCCACCGCCGATTTTGGGGAGTCCCGACACGGTGCGGTGACGGACCGTGCGGTGCCTTCGAGCTCCCCCGAGACCGTACCGTACGGTGCGTCAGCGCACGGGACGCCCGAAATGGGTACGGAAAGAATGGGTACGATGCCCAACAGCAGTTCCTGTTCATTTTGAACAGGACTCGCTGTCCACGCCGCCGCGGCCGGTGTCCGTTTGAGACAGAAGGCCGCCTGCCCAACAGTGGCCGCTGTCGGTTTGGGACAACATTTGTTGGTGGGCATGGTACCCATCTTTTCCGTACCCATTTCGGGCGTCCAAATAGTAGGTCAGCTTGTCCTTCCAGGTATAGACCTTCTACCCTGACACGTCCATGAGGGAGCTGGCCGTTTTCGGTTCGCGAAGAGGGCGTCGCGGCCGTCATGTTTGCGGGTCCGGGTCCCTCCGTTTCGGTCCGATGGCTTTTTTCACGAAGGGGAGGCCTACTAAAGGGAGGTTTGTCCACCGCCGATTTTGGGGAGTCCCGACACGGTGCGGTGACGGACCGTGCGGTGCCTTCGAGCTCCCCCGAGACCGTACCGTACGGTGCGTCAGCGCACGGCTTCTTGGACCCTCGGCTGCAGAAGTCGCCCGAGACATCCTCGGAGAACGACCCGAGTCCCCAATAGTCTGGACGCCCGAAATGGGTACGGGAAGAAAGGGTACGATGCCCAACAGCAGTTCCTGTTCATTTTGAACAGGACTCGCTGTCCACGCCGCCGCGGCCTGTGCCCATTCGAGACAGAAGGCTGCCTGCCCGACAGCGGCCGCTTTTGGTTTGGGACAACATTTGTTGTTGGGCATTGTACCAATTTTTTCCGTACCCATTTCGGGCGTTCAGAAATAAGAAGGGGGTCACATGCGAACCCTACCCCTACCCGCCCAGATTTCTAAGGGGGAGGGTGGGGTTCACTTCGCTCGGGAGCTTACGAGCGAAGTGAACCCCACCCTCCCCCTCAGAAATCGTGGGGGGTAGGGGTAGGGTTCGCATGTGGCCCCTTACCCAGACCGTGCGGTGGCCCCGAAGCCCCACCGACTCGCCACGCGGTGTGGTCACCGCACCGTCTGGGGCACCCCCAGTCTTGTAGCAGGTCAACCCGTCCCTCGGTGCCAAGTTGGGGGTGGGCCGGCGGCTTGGGTCCATGACAAAAAATAACGAGTCGGGGGTGGACAGACCTCCTACCCTGACACGTCGATTAAGGAATTGGCCGTTCCCGGTTCGCGAGAGGGCGTCGCGGCCGTCATTTTTGCGGGTCCAGGTCCGTCGGTGTCGGTCCCAGGCCGTTTTCATTAAGGGGAGGTCTACTAAAGGGAGGTCTGTCCACCGCCGAAAATA